CCCCCCCCGGTTAAAAACAACAACTGCATTACAAAAAATAACACGCAGTCGCCAACTATATTACAAGCTATTATTTTAAGACCAGACACAAAATGTATGATTTCCATGTATTTCAAGTATTCTCCAACAACTCTCCACCTTCACATGTTTGTTAGAGAAACCAGCTGATGGGGAAAATAAAACAAAAACCATAACTAAGCAAAAATATTTAATCTATAAGAACCATGCATTTACCCTGACTTTATATATTGGTAATGTTATCAAAAGTCAATCAACAAAGGGAAAGATTCTTTCACCAGAAATGCTGCCAAGATAACTACATCATGCATAACAGTGAGCATCAACTTCCTTGCCACAACCACAGACAACTCAAAACTGGTACAATTTTATTGAAAGAAAAACAACATAGCGAAGAAAATAAAAAGTGAGCATGCGCCTACCACACACTAATGTAACAACTAAAATAGGCATTTAGTTCCTTTGGTTAAACTCTTGGGTGGTTCAGCAGAACCATTCTAGTTTAAATTTAGCATTCGGTTGGAGTATGTCTCCTAAACTAAATATTTTTGTTTAGTTTATGTTTTGTTTTATTTTTCCCCATCACCTTGCAGCACAGAAAAACGTTTACAGAAATACACACAAACACATAGGCCTACAACTTAATATGTACCAGAATAATGTGTGACCAATCCCGCTTCAATGGGCACGGAACCAGCGCATAGCTCTGATCTGATTATGTTTGAGACTCTTAGCACTAATGTATCAGTGGATGGAGCCACTAGTGACTCTAGGTCTCAATGCAGAACAACACAAAACAACCCCCCCCCCCCAATGTGGGCCATACCCTATAGTCTCTGCAAAGCTAGTTCACATGTATATATAAATATGGCTCATCTCACTCCTTTAGTTAGTGAAGAGTACAGATTCTATCTACTCGCATGCAGATTCAGTGCGGCTGGTCGGCAGATTCAGCTAGTTTTTCCAATCTTTGAAGAAGGTGAAGAACAGAAGCCATGTAGAAGCAATCTGTCTAAACCGAAAATGTGAACAATCTGAAGAAAAACTGGCGGCCCCACAGAATTCAGTATAAGCGATTTCTGCTTTACTAAACAACACGTGAGAACCCCCACATCCTTCAAATTTTACAAAGGGAAAACAACTTAAAAAAGAAATTTTAAAAAAATTGTGAGACCAAGAAGGGCTTAATAGTTTTAAAAATTACTTACGCCTCTCAATTTTGTCTTATAATCTCCACATATTGGGGTCTTTGCCAATTTCTTTTGGTAAAGGTACACCAACTTTCCACCAGGAGTTTTAGAACTGTGAAAATAATAAATGATAAAATAAGTTACGAAAATTAACCAGTCCCAGAGGAAACAGCAGTAATAAAAATAAAACAAAACAAATTGTTTTCATCAAAAGCTCATAATAACGACAAAAAAACAAACACTACAAATACAATATAATAATTATAATAGCAACATAACCGACTACTGACATTTCAACTATATTCCGTAGTTTAGTAATTTAGTAGAGTTTTTACAGCGCTTCCAACTGCATGAGGTCATATGAGCGCCAAGGGGTGGATGTCAAAAGACAAGTCCAAAAAAAGAAAATCAGGCTTACTCTGCTCACATCTCTAGCTTCAACAGCACAAAGTCTGCTTCGACTATCAAGGCACACAAGAAATAACGAGTCACAGGAGTGTGATAAACATACAAAAGAAGTAGAGGAAAATGACGACAGGATTAGGAAAGAAAAAGCAGCAGTTCAGGCAGTTATGAGCATGACATTGATAAATCAGACCATTTATAATTCACTGTGCATAAGAACATAATGTTAATGCCCCCCCTTTGGGAATGGCCCATAGACACTTCAGCCAGTAGCACCTCCCCGGGAGGTTATAACATTCTCTCTTAGCATTCAAACTTTTAACTAAATAAATACTACTAGGCAAACCAAATCTGGCTTTAGTAGAGGGAAGGAGAAGAAATCATCTTGACACATTTCTACCTACAGGCAAGGTTTCCAGTTAAAGGACCAGATACATTATAAATGACAGCTGGGGCCAGTTCCGACATGCTGACCAAATAGCATGGAATTTGAGCCGTTTCAAAGGAAACATCACACGACGATACCCCCCCCCCCCATATTATATACCAAAAAATTCAACTGCACAGCACCGGCAAATTGCGACCTCGGTGCTTTCTTTTAACAATGAAAATGTGACTTCTTCAGCTCACTCTTTGTTATGAACTGTTTTCACTGTAAAATAAAAAATGGAGATGCGACAACAAAGCACAGGTCGTGAAATAGGCCTACATTAACTAAACTGAACATTTCACCCATACATACACACATAAAACTTACAATATAGACCAAAAGTAGGCCTCAATGCAAATCCACGAGGCCTAAGCCTACTAAATAATAATTCAAAGAATACAAACGACTTAAAACAACGATGAAACTTACACTTTCCTGCGGTTGGAATTTGTGTTGTAGGACAGCCTACGCCTGAAAGTAAGACGCTGAGCCATCTGTTGATGAAACCAAAGAGAATTTTAGATAACCTTTGAGCCCTTACATCACATCAACAAACACCATTGTTACTTTTTAAGAAAACCTTACTAAAAATATGACATGCAGGGCCTATCATGACACGAATAGGAATAGGCCACAGAAAGTGATGATAAAAAACATTTCCAGTTTCAAAATCTAGATCTAGAATCTAGTATCACACGAAAACGGGGCTACTGCAGTCCAGATCAGGATCTAAAAATCTACTGAAGCAGAGAAAAAAAGGAAAGTCGGCCTTTAACTGCTTTAACAGTACAGCAAGTGGTGGCGCCTGGGGTCTCGTGCGACATTTATATTTTCCTTTCATCATATTCGCCTGCATATATAAACTATATGAAAATATATCTTGTTTTGAGCCTGGGAAAAGGCCTAGAACCAGAATATCCACTGTCATGAACCAGTCTGGGTGTAATGATTCTCATATAATAAACGTGAAAGACAAAATTAATGCTCAAACTCAAAGTAGAGAAATAACTTGAATAGCATAGCTCAAGTAAACCTATTCAGTGAGAGAGGTGTAAGAACTGTGGGAGGGTAAGATGCAGTGACACTGAAAATCTGCGAATCTTGAACAAAAAGCTAAAATATAGAGACAATATATACTATTACTGTCACCAATCCAAAGAAACGCGAACACTTACGCCCCTGCCTAAGTTCATTAACACGCTTACAAGTAGTTATGACGGATCCCGATTTTATACACAAGGCAAGCACTAACGTGCACTTTACTTTGTAGAGAGCTGTAGTAGTGATCAAAATTCTAAATATTAAAATTTACTTCAAATTTCTTTTCTTTTTTTGTCCTCTGGTGTTGCGTCCAGCCACAATCCGTTAAACATAGAAAAGACGCATCTTTCTGATTGGCTGCTAATTTTTGTACTGTGATGTCATCACTTCCTGGGATACCCTCATGGAACGACATGTTTTCGGTAACATTAAGGATTTCCTAGATCGAAGTGTATACAGACCCGGAAACCGGGAACAAAGTCACGAAGTATACAGACCCGGTAGGGGAACTCTTTTGTGAAGCCGGAAAGTTTCAGCGCCCAGACCCGGTAGTAGGTGTGTGTGTGTGAGAGAGAGAGAGAGAGAGAGAGAGAGAGAGAGGGAGAGGGAGAGGGAGGGGGAGGGGGTGACTGCTCGATTGAAATTATCATCATTATTATGGCATTGTCCTTTTCTTCAAATTGTGATTCCTCCAACTCCAAAAAACGGAGGAAAAACAATCGTTCATCGAAATCTAGATCTAGGCTAACCTCGCAACTAGATCAATGATTTAAATGTCTGTCTGTCTAGATCTAGACCTAGGCCATAGAGCTAGAAGAACCTAGGTCTTGGCCTACTGCCTACCCTAAGTCCCTGAGCCAAGAGGACGCTGAAACTTTCCGAAAACACAAAAGAGTTCCCCTACCGGGTCTGTATACTTTGTGACTTTGTTCCCGGGTCTGTATACACTCCCTTCCTAGATAGTAGGCCTTCTTGGACATGATAGAAGACAGCAGGAAAATTGCCGAAAAGACGCAGGAGGATTAGATATAGATATCTAAATCTAGATCTACCACCACCCACCTGCATTTTTAATCACTAATATATTTTTAGAAAAAAACCCCAACAACTTCAAAGCAACTCTACAAATCAGGCCAATAATTTATCGGACTGTTAGTAAGTCGGGAGGAGGAGAAGAGAAAAAAAAAACCCAACTGTCCTTGACTGGGATCGAACCGCTCCAAAAAATCATTGCATGATTTCAAACGCAGACGCGCTGTCTATTCAGCCATCAGAACTTCCGAAAGAGAGGTTTAGATTAAGCATGATATACATAGACACTTCCATCTTTGGTGCCATGCGGTTGGCTATACTTAGATGTAGTCACGTGATCGGAGGGGTATCCTGGTATGACGTCAAACAAGATGGGCACCTTACCTAAAAATAGTTTGCGTCTTTCTACGTTTATTTGCATATCGTCCAGCCCTCCCCCCATCCCCGAGTGTATCTTTAAAAAAACCAAAAACAACCCCTCCCCTCATTCCGGAGTAGTGTACTTCACAGCGCTCAGAACGCGCGCAGATTCATTGACCGGTCACAATGACGTGCCCGACAAGACGCTTGTATAACTTTCTCCCCCCCCCCCCCCAAGTGACAGCACAGTGAAGAATATATTTTCATGGCGACACCATGTTTATAATGCAGAACCTGCATGTTACAAATGTTGCGTATTCAGACTTTTTGGCGCTTTTTCGGTAGTTCCCACCCCGCCATTGTTATTCGCGGGTTTTGACCCCAAGAGTAGGGGTTTTTTAGCCCCCCCCCCCCAAATTTTACCTAATTTGATGTTTTGCAGTTGTCATGTTTGATATCTTAGCTTGCCGCGCATCAAACGTATAGACCTAGATCTAGAATCTAGATGTAGATCTAGGCTCAAATAGTCAAATAAGGGGGGTGGGAACTACCGAAAAAGCACCGACTTTTACAGACAAATTTCTGAGATCTTCATTTTCCAGTCGAGCCTCGATGTCACATATAATTCTGCTTGCCGCCATAGCCGCCTGTTCGGGTGAAATGTACTCTCAGACCGGGATAAGCCGAATTACTATAACAACCGCGACCGGCAAAAACGAACTTACTTAAAGACGTTACCAGATTTGGTTTTCAAGTAATATTCGAAAGGCCGCCTCTATTCTCACCCGGAGTGAGAATAGTGCAGGCGAGTCTTGTGGCTATTCTCACCCGGTGCGCGTTCACCCTAAACCACAAAATTCTACACTGTGATAACAGAAAAATTGTAGAATTCTGTGCCGTGAACAAACGTTCCATTACAACTGTAGCCTACTAAAAGCGTACAATTTTGTCTGTGGGCAGTGGAGAGAGAGAAAGAGAGAGAGGAGTAGCGCGAGAATTTCCGGGCAAAAAAAAAAAGGCGACCCGCGTAGTTCGGCTCGATTCGAAAAGTTAAATAGCCGTAGCATCTTTGTAGACAACCAAATTAATTTACTTTTGTGTTTTAACATCATTTTTTAACTTTGTTTTGGTCAATTTGATCGTCCACACCGATAGTATTCAGAAAGAGACAGAGAGAGAGAGAAGAGGGGAGGAGTTGATCTTGCGAGAACTTCCGGCGGGTGAGAATAGCCACTTTCTATTCGAAATCTTTGATGTTGATCTAGATTCTAGATCTAGAATATCTAGAGTGGTGTAGCCCCTGCGCGTGCGCCTTCTCGGTGCGTGCACTTTTGTTTTCCTTTGTTTTTAGCCTCAAATTGCGTTTGATTGAATGCGTCAGTGTGTGCAGCAGCCATTTTTGTTTACTTCCATCACTCGTTTGCCGACAAGGGATCATCGAGAGTGTTTTTATCAGCTGTGGCAAGTTGACATTCAACGCTGACCTGTGAACTAGTTTTTATGACCTATTTGCCTCTGATTGGTTCAAATAGACTGTGCGCGCCCCCTAGCTTAAAAAATGTGCCTACTCCTTCCTTGAGTGTTTCACGTGACCTTTTATCGAGTTCTATGCCAAGTTGTATTGCGGGTTTCGGGATCGGGGGGGTGCACGCGTTGTGAAGACTGAAAAAACTCGAGTTTTCTCTGCGCGTGCACAATGAAATATATAGTAGAATACTAAGAAAAAAAGTAGACTCAATTTTAGAGATTATTTGGTTGCAGTTTGAAGAATGTCATGGATGGTGGCATGTGGACTGTGTGAAAGATGGAAAGATCAGAGGAATGAGTGCTGAAGAGTAGGAAAATGTGGATTTTAGTTGTGAAAAATTCTGTTTGATTTTTTTTCACTATATATTTGAACTATTTATACCCCCTAAATTAAATTAGTTTAGATTCTAATTAAAATTGCCTTACTTTGCTTCTAAAGTGACTTGTTATCTTCCTGTGTGGTCATTTAATGCATTAATGTTATCAGATTCCTCTTCTTTTGGCTTTCAACGTGTATATATGGGTGCACGCACAGTGAAGAATCCCATGCACGCACTGAGAAGAAATTAGCAATGCCAATGAAAATTTAAATTTTCACTTTTGCCCCCTTTTTTTTGGTACCTAAGAAAGAATTTTCAATTCTGATAATTATGCTTCTTGAATTTTGAGAATCGGTTCATAAATAAAAAAGTTATGGGGTTGTAAAGGTCGGCAAAATATGGATGACCCACATATAGGAAAATACTCCTCAAAAGTGGACCACGCAGTAGCAGATTCTGTAAGAAAATCGACGATATCTCGGTAACTAATCCAAATGTTCGAGAGAAACTTGGCTACCCGATGTGTTTTTGAGTGTAGAAATCATTTCTGCAGTCAGATTTATTACCAATTTCGTAGTTATTTTGTTATAATTAAAATTGTGGTGTACATATTACGATTTTGCGAAAAAGGGGTGTCGGGATGAGTCCATTTTATTTATAGCATCGTATCACAACATGGGATCTTTAAGAATATATGTCGGCAGCGTGACTAAATAATTGCAAAGCTTTTTATGATGACTTTAGACCATGCCAACCGTAAAAGATAAGTTAATTCAATCTAGCATGCCGTACAATTAAAAATTCTTTTTTCCCGTTGAGACGCGAACACCCCGAGACGAGATAACCTCGCCTCGGAATACCCCCTTGCGATGTTACAGGGGAATAGAGAGAAACACAACCGGATGCGCGCGCCCGCCATTGCCCTATTTCAAGTGACCAATGAACGGGCCCGGAATAGTCATGCGGGGATTTGTAGGTCACAGACATTTGCCACGGGAGTGAGGGGAAAATGGCCGGTCTCCATGCGAAGCCGCTTTGGATAGGGGGGTAGTCGTAGATTTACGATCGGGTCTAAACAACTACTTGACACAGAACTCTCAAATTTGAGCACACTATAGAGGATAGATAGATCTATTACCATCTGGGCGTTGAAATTCAAACTCCTTATAGTTTTCGGTGTACACGATACGAAAGTGTTCCCGACACCAAAAGTATAGGTTAATTTATGTGTACGAACTTCAACGTCCACATATCATTAGTTTGCCCTATTTTCTGATTGGTAGCCGAGTTTCATTCGGATTGGTTCGGAAATAGAGCAGACCGAGGTTGACAAAGTTAGTCACCTACGCTTCGGCCGGGTCCGCAAAATCGCCCGTAAACGGGGACCAAATTTTCGCCTCGCGGGAAAGCCCGATTGGCATTGCTAGAAGAAATGCACGCTCAGTGAAGACAACACCCTAGGTTGGAAAAACTGTTCGGCACACAACGTTTAAGAAATCTGGCGACTATGACAAGACCATTTTATAGGTCAATAGGTTCTTGAATGGAATAGCTAAAAACGAAAGTACAAAGCCGGAAATGGCGGAAAATACGTTCAACGATCGCGAAGTGCACGCGTACCGGCGACACCACTCTAGATCTAGATCTATTTTCAGCACCTCTGCGATTTTTTTCAAATTCCTGAGGCCTGGCAGTCACTCTGCTCCCAGCAACTCTCTGATTGGCCCGCTGTCATCGCGGTAGCAGAGTTTAGCGGAGGAATTGGCGGTAGCAGAAATCCGCTAAATAGTGGAATATTGAGACCCATGTTTTACTCTACGTGTGTGGCCGGACCTCTAGACTCCAGGCCGAGGGGCCTTGTTGTCTGATGGTTGATTACGACCAGGCTCAGGAGGGGGGACTGGCTGGATACTCGTAGTCATAGAGCTACCAGTTGTCTCCATGAAATTGGGAACTGCAGGTGGGCCGAGCTTTACGTAACGTACATATCATGTCCTAAGAGAAACGTATACTAAGCCGAACGAGATATTAGGTGGTGTGGACTTAAATCTAGTAGCTTACTATAGAGATCTAGATCTAGATTCTATGCCTAGAGCAAGCAGATCGAAGAACAGAGGGACGTTCGAGATGTCCAAACAGCGGACATGGTCTTCATACAAATCATTCTAATGGTGGAGAAAGGAAGGAGAGAAGGCTTTTTTTGTCTCTGTCACTGAATAAATACATATTCCACTTTTAGTTTATGAAAAAATATTCAAAAAATTATATAGATGCATTTGATTAAAACGGATAGAATCTACAGTTTCTAATACGAACAATACCTTCTGTAAATTTTGTTTAGAAAAGGAAGCGGAAACCCAGTCCCTTGCCCAGGCCTAAATTTTAAAATCGGATAGGATTGGTATTTTGACTTTTCATTTAATTATCATAGAAATATTTGTAACACTTTAAAACAATTTTAAAATCAAATTTGGCTATGGTAACATTTTATGATCAACAAAAATAGTTTTATGAATTTTTACTGAGGCTACGAAAAAATATATCTTCTATAGAAAGTATCGATGCCGCAAGTCACACACGACAAAGTTCAAAGTTCAAAGTCTCTTTTCTTCGGTTCAGCCAGCCGGGCAAGAACTTGAAACCTGGAACTCTGGAACCTGAGATCCGACCGAGTGGAACGCCTCAAGCATGTCGTTTTCCTCCAAAATATTTGTGAGGGGTTTGGCAACCTCAGCAAAACAATGGAGTCCGATCAAAACTGTTACTATAATTGGCAGTGGTTTAATGGGATCTGGAATCGCACAGGTAAAATCATGTCCTTCAGACTTCAGTCCTTCAGTCCTTCAAAGTTCAGTCTTTTGCCTCCTAAATCTTGATATAGATTAGATCAAGAATCTATATCTATAATCTAGATCTAGATTTAGATCTAGTCTCTAGATCTAGATCTAGATCTAGATCTAGATTCTAGACCTAGATTCGTGCACTTAATTCAAAGACTGGTAGATCTAGAATCTAGACAGATTTGACTAGATTTAGATCTATCTAGATCTAGATTAGAGTCTAGACTCTAGGTTTAGATCATTTTTTACTTTCACACCCGCACACTAGGGATGGGAAGGTATCGGTACCCAGTACCGGAACTCCCAGTTCTAGGTGTCGGTACCGACACCTGGCCTCCAGTATCGGCTCTGGGAAGGAGCCGACACCAACGGTTAATACCGGCTCTGAAAAGGAGCCGACGCGTCGTTTTTTTTTTTTTCTTATCGGGCTACGGGAAGTGTGCAGTGTGAAGGCCTAGGCTAGGCCTAGCGGCTGTGACGTCAGCTGCACACAACGCAGCGGGTGACCTTGATACAGGACTTCAGATTCAAAATTGACAACCAAAAACGAAGTTTGCTTAAATTTATAATATGGCTTCAAATCAGGTTCCACTGTCCACGCGAGCCACTTTGTTTATTTTGATACGCTGATTCCCAAATTGAAATCAATTTTTAGCGGCGATAAAACTATTAAAAAAATTCTGCTTGCAAATTTTAATTCCACGCAGCGGCAAACTTCAATGGTATTTTGCGTCACAGTTCGCCTCTCCAATTCTGCCTGGTGTGTGTGTGTGTGGGAGGGGGGGGGTGCGGGAGGTGCTGATCGTGGTGTGGGACGCAAGACGCAAAGTCTGTGACGTCACCTACTGGAATCACTCCCGGTGCCAGTACTGGCGGTTCTCGGCACCAGACACTGGATTTCGCCGGTACCGCCCACCACTACCGCACACAGAGCACTGGGGTCAAACTGCAGTTTTTTTTGCTGCAGTTCACACACATAATGGCCACTAAAGCTGTCTCAAATCAAATATTTTCAAGAAAGGCAGTGGCTATTTTTATGGTCCTGTAAAGGTACATGCTGTTAAACGTAGAAGATGCATCTTTCTGATTAGCTGCTAATTTTAGTACTGTGATGTCATCACTTCCTGGGATACCCACATGGAACGACGTGTTTTCGGTAACCTATCGGATTTCCTAGATCTAGAAAAAAATCTAGATCTAGATCTAACCCCCGCCCCCCTCTCCTGCATTCTTCATCACTAATATACATTTTTTTAAAACAACAACTTCAAAGCAGCTCTACAAATTATAATTTATGGGACTGTTGGTCAGTTGGGAGGAGGAGAAGAGAAAAAAAAACTGTGCGGGACCGGAATCGAACCGCTCCTAAAATCATCGCATGACTTCAAACGCTGACACGCTGTCAATTCAGCCATCAGAACTTCTGAGAGCGAGTAGTAGATTAAGCATTATATACATAGACACTTCCATCTTTGGTGCTGTTCGGTTGGCTATACTAAGATGTAGTCACATGATCGGAGGGGTATCCTGGTCTGACGTCAAACAAGATGGGCGCCTTACCTAAAAGTAGTTTGCGTCTCTCTACGTTTAATCGCATGTTGTAAAGGTGGTGTTCGGAGCTGTTTTTACGGTCATGTAAAGATGGTGTTCGGGGCTTTTTTTACGGTCCTGTAAAGACAGTCTTCGGGGCCATTTTTACAGTGAAGCACGGCTGTTAAAATGCGACTGAAAGTGGTACTTTAGTTGGTGGCCGAGCACCAGTCTGACCTCCCGGGTGAAGGTAATAAATCAGTGTCAGTCGGCCACTCCCGTGCTTAACAACCGTGACGATAGCGATGCCCACCGCTGTGCCTGCGTAGATCGGTTCTGGTAATTTTCGTATCACTTTCCCTCGTTATTTCTCCCAATCTGATCAACCTAGAAGCCTGTTTATCATCTCATTTTAAAGATCATCTTAAGACTAACAAGACGATCCCACTTTCGCTCCGGAAATCTCACTGGTGTTATAGCAGTTACGTATTTTGCAGTACAAGTGTTTTGTTCATCTAATGTTGCATTTTGAATTATATTCTATTTTGGAGTTAATTATCTCAAAAGCCAAACTCAGATTTTTCTCTCAGATTTCTCTGCTTCACTTGAGACAGCAATACTTGAACCGTGTGAGCAAATGTTATTTGTGGGAAGCGAATGTGTGATTTTATATGATTTTTTAAAAAAGGTTCCCCCTCCCCTGTGATTCACTCATTTTTCTTCTTAAATATCGCGTTATTTTTCCAACACTTCACAGCGGATGAAATACCGTCCAGACCGCTCACTTAGTTTTCCTTCCCCGGTTCCTCCCCGACCATCCTCACCACCCTGCCCGCCCCGCCCGACAGCCCAGCGCGTAGTCATAAATCACTTGTCAGAGGGGTTAATTGGGGTGACCGCAGCGCCACTCCTCCTGTGCCGGGGCAGTAGTAAATATGGCGTTTTAGTGCGAATTGAAAGCCTCCTAACTCTGAAACTATAAATGCTACAAGGCCGATTGAGATTTCATTGTAACGTGCTATGTTTGACCTGTAGGCCGGTATAACTTGTTTTCTTGTAAGTCCGATTATATCAGTTTTACAAGGGATTTAAGTAAGTCTGTGATTTTCAAACTGGCATCTTCAATGTTTAGAACTTTTTCAGTTTGGATTTAGATTTTTCAATCCGGCCCCCAACGATTTAAACAGAAATTCATGTATCAACTGTGGTGACAATTTCCATTTACATGTGCAAGTTTCAAATGCACGAAGTTATTCTATGATTTTCTGTGATTTAAAAAAAATACCAACCCACCACTCTGAACATTCATCCATGCTGTTTTTAGTTTTCTTGCCTCTACTACATCTGAATTTCGTTGTCATTTTTAACAATATTTTTGTCATGGAGTGCCACACTCAACATGATCATATGGTGGGCATTGTGCTCAAACATCATCGCCTTCTTGAGGAGGCTGCACATGATATAGATGTACAGCTGGCCCATGATATAGATGTACAGCTGGCACATGATATAGATGTACAGCTGGTCCATCAATCTATGGAGAATTGCACGCCTGGAATAGGACAAAATGTGCATATCTACGGCAAAAAATGAAAGAGGGCTGGAAAAAATTGAGGAGGACATTCAATTGTTACAGGGCTGTCAGATTTTGTCGGATAATCCACGAGAAGCAGAGAGATTTGAGAGGAAGGGTTCTAGTGTACATGATCAGCTGTCAGAGTTAGAGTTTGAGGAGCTTATTCCAAGGTCAAGTCCTGCCTGCTCTGAATTTGATAACATCCTCAAACAACACAACATCACACCACAGGCCTACCACAGCCGTTCATTTATAGGAAAGCCACTGCCATAAATACATCACAGCCCATGTGTACAGACAGCTAGCATCATTTTTAGCAAAAGGAACAGTTGCATGTACACGAAATCAAAGCATAATAGACACCGCATTAATTGTTCTGAGAGAGAAATTTGTTCACATAAAAGACACCTTCAAAGATATCCACACAGTAATTGCACATGGAAAGCCAATCACTTTAGAGAGAATACCACTATTCAGTCATGCATCACACGATCTATGTCTTTATACAGAAACATATTTGGCAAATAAAAGGTCTGGAGTCGATAGTGCTGTAAAACACGTGCTACTCAATCAAAATCGATCAAAAGAAAAGGTCATCCCCAAACAACACATCCTTGAGAAACACTGCGTTCCTTGGATACAAAAATGTGGGTTTGGAATGGCCTTCCATTGTGAGCAAGGGGGTGATCTCATTCATGCAACCGTGGCCTAACAGACAAAGAAAAACACGTCAAAACAATCATGCAGTCACAACACGTCCAAACCCACCCTGAGCTACTCTGTCGTGTGCACCACCCATCAAAAGACGAAAGCTTACAGCGGAAAAATGAGATAATTCCTCCAGTCCAGCAATATTGTGTTCTTTTTGTATTTTGTGTTTAGGTTGTGTTTTCATAAGTGTATTGGCAAGAAAAGATCTGTTCTGTAGTTACATGTATCGTGGATATCGCTATGAAAAAACAAGGTCGCAAAGCAAGAGTATTGCAAAAATCAACTTCAAACCTGAATAATTACGGATCCAGAAACTTCGTGCATATGCCCCTTTTTCAGTACAAATTTCATTATGTTCTCAGTCCTGTGTGCAAATTTGATTGAATTCGTTGGGGGCAATCCTATTTAAATCGATGTTTATAATTGATTACCCATGACACATTTATCAAATTAAGTCCCCTTTTTGAGAACTTCACAGCTTTTAAGTGTAATGTACCATGTTCTTCCGATTTCTTCATTTTCTTCCTTAATATGTTGAATATTTACGTGGTCTTTATTAAAATATTCATCTTACATTAGCTTTGGCTCACTGTGCTGGTAAACTTTGCAAAAAATACAAGAGCGCTGCCGGTGTTCGGCTGATTAGGGAAATCCCCGGCGGCGCAGGTAAATGACCCCGTGACCTGGGGAAGCGCGGGCTTGCTTGCCTCGTTCCAGCCGAAACTAAATGGGCGCTCTATAACCGCTGTGACTTCACATCGCTTTTTTGGAATATTTTAGCCCAGTTAAGAAATGGAGAAGCATACAGAGGATTCGCTTTTTCAAAAGCTACACGAACGTTTCAGAACTTGTGGTGGCAGAACACTGTCAGTCAAGCAGAAGGCACAGAAAAGGCGACCCCTGCAGAGTTCTAAATTTGCGTCGGACACTCTGTTTGCTTTAGGTGTTAGCATTACAATGGATTCACAGACAGTACATTCAAAAACCATCTGTAAAGCTTGCGTGGACAAGATAAGACATATGGAGTTGTGGGGAGGAACTAAATGGGGAGGTTAGACATTTAGAAGGTTGCGATGTACTTTCTGACTCTAAAGAGGAGAAAATTGACTTTCAAAAACAATAGACGGAGAAAGAAGACAGGTTGTCGGAGTTACAGCACGAACCCCCTAACCCTAGGACTGGTATTTACTCGCACAACATCACACCGCAGGCATATCACGGCCGCTCTTTCACTGGCAATCACTGCCACAAATACATCATGAGTCGCTTTATAAAGACCTCACGGCATTTATTGTAAAAGAAACGGTAGAAAACAACCACAACCAAAACATAATTGACACGGCTTACACTCTCATAGAAAAATTCAATCATTTAAACAACGCGTTTCGGGACGTTCACATTCACATCTCACACGGCCAACCAGTGTCAAAAGGCGGACTACCACACTTTGACAACATGCATCAAAACTTACATGTCATTCTACAGGAGACACTTTAGTGAAAAGGTACTTCCCAAACACCACATTCTCGAAAACCACTACATCCCGTGGATACAAGCATATGGGTTTTGTTTGGCTTTACATGGGAAACAGGGTGGTGTACTTATCCATGCTTCTGCGGCAAAGCTAGAGAGAAGAGGAGCTGGGATACGTAATATCGAACAACAGCTGAAAGTTGTCATGCAATCTTACCCCGTCATGTCAAATCCAAAACTATTATCCAACGTGCCTCCGACAAAGAAAAAAAAATTGATACTGCAATCAACTCTTCACTACTCCAAAACCATCGACTTCCCTCAAAAACAGCAAAGTGAGTTTTGATATTTGACCATTTCTGGTGTATTTTATGTGAAATTGCAGGGTTGATTAAGTTTTGTTTGATTGGAATTTAGATGAAAAAATATTCACGCCAAAGGGCAATGGTAAAATATGAGCCATTTTTGGAGCGCTATATATATTTATCGTTATTTCATACAATTTTGCATCTTTCTCAGTAAGTACAGAAGTTCCCCCTTGTTCCAAACAGGCCAAATAAAATGACGATAAAGTCACCGATCGGCGTATTTTGCGAGTTTAATTGTCCTAAAAATGAAATGAACAATGCTGTTAGCGGGACACGGGGAATTCCCCTGGCCACGAGTTCATGACCCGGTGACCGGGGTCAGATTACAAGGTGCGGTGCGCTGGCTGCCTGCGAACTAAAGTACCGCTTTCTAACAGCCGTGGAAGACGCTCTTCTGTACTGAAGTCAAGGACTTTACAACATGGAAGTGGTTATTCCCATATGTCTCGCTATTCTCACCCCCTCGTTTTACCGGAAATGATCTGAGAGGGATCAGGGCTTAGAGGTTAACGGACATGACCCTGGGGGGGTCAGGGCTGATGCTCCACAGCGTCGTGTTTGTCACTCTGTTCGTGCCCGAATATTCACTGTCAGGGTTGTCAGTTTGGAGCCAAATCCCAGAAATTTGACTCTTTGGGATCGTGTCTGGCCCGGAGAATTTCATTTGGCCCTCTGGCTCTTTTTTTGGCTCCAAACTCCAAATGTTCAAGAAGAAAAGGTGAGAAGAGGCAAGAAAAAAAGAAAAATGAAAGAAAGAAGATGAAAGCTTTGATTGCTTGATTATTAAATTAGTTAACACAATTTAATGTCCTCGCCCATTTGGTCTGATTAATTTACAACCCTTAGAACTACCGTCGTGCAAGAGCATTTATTGTCTGTGTCTCGTTACGTTCGTACACGCTCTCTGTTCCTCGAACCATAATTTATTGTGTGCAAGCAGAGAGGCCTGCCGTTGTTAAGTGTGTAAACAAATAATGGTCCGGCCGCAGGCCTGTCCCACCACACATCCCGCACAGTAGTGTGTGTAGTGAGCCTTTTTTTTAAAACTGGAGAGGTGAAAAATGTTTTTTACATTATAATAAATTATTATTCGTTCCCAACCACATGCAGTAAGCCACTAAGGGCCTAGGTGATTTTATCGGCCTGCGAGAGGTCAGGGGGAAGTCCTTGCCTCACGCCCACACCTGGGTAGGATCAATTCTCGCCGGGGGGGGGGGGGGGGGAGGGGAAATAGCGAGACATGGGTTATTCTCACCAGGGGTGAGATTAAAAGTAGCATTATGTCAACAAGTGGACCCTCCTCTCTCACTTCGTGGCATCGTGCACAGCACGCCCAGTTGAACATACAAAATGGCGCCAACTTTGGTCACCCGACGCGAACTGCGTTTTTTTATTTACAAAGGATATAATATAGTATGGCTGGACAGTGAGCTACGGTATCTGAGAGATATGTGTAAAAAAGAGGGGTGAAAGGAGACATGAAATAACTGAGGTTGCACAAGATTCATTGTTCTTTAATGGGTATTGTTCTTTGTCCTTTCCAGGTGGCTGCTTCCACTGGTCACAAGGTCACAGTTGTAGATCAGACCCAAGACATTGTGGACAAAGCTAGTGCCTCCATTAAAAAAAGTCTGTCTCGTGTTGTGAAAAAGAAATTTCCAGATGATCCTAAGGTATTTATCTTATGTTCGTTAGTATCAGTTTTATACATCATGTCTCATATTTCCCAAGATGTATAATCAGCTTCATTCTAATTAAAGCAGAAATTCATTGCAAAAAGTAAATGATCATGTGTGCCCTGATTGTTTCCATTTTGATAATTACTGAAAAGTACCGATATACCTCACTTGGAATTTACTCGTTATCATGGAGGTCAACTGATTGTATGTAATTTCTGTTTTTGTGATAGTCATCAGTGTTTTCTAAATTCTGGGAGAAAAGGATGTGTTAATTAATTATCATAAAATAAAAGCAAGGTTTTACTTTGTAAAGTCCGAATGGTTAAGGTTAAAAAATGCCTAGATTCTCTTTGCTTTTTTTATTATATCAAATACCCATGTGCCATGACAAACACTAAAACATCAGGTTACTTCTCAAGTTTATTCTTATAATTCTTCTTTGTTTGTGTAGGCTCAACAGACGTATATTGCTGACACAATGGGACACTTGACCCTGCAAACCGATGCTGTTTCTGCTGTAAAAAGTGCTGATCTGGTGGTAGAAGCAATTGTCGAGAATCTTGACGTTAAGAGAAAGCTGTTTGCTACATTAGATGAAGCTGCTCCTCAGTGAGTGATAAGATTTGTTGTTTTGATGAGTGCTCAGTGTGTCCACTTGAAAATTGCATATATCAAATCAAAAGCTTGCAGATATGAAACAGTGGAGGACACACTATTTTTACCTCCGTTAACCTTTGTTATTTTCAATGACGGTGTTACTGGTATTATTTTAAGCAAATAGTTATTTTTCTTCAGAATTGTCATGGTCAACCTGTTCAAATATAACAGAAAGTACTTCTTGGTGACAATTGTCTCTCAAAATTGGTCCAGTGGAGTCCACTTTTAACGAGTCCTGAAATAATGAGGAGTCTATTATAACGACAATATTCTAATTCTAAAACCCTGGGGTTTTTTTCTTTCTTTATCTTTGCCAATAAAATATTGCTATAGCGCAACCAGACAAACACTCGAGTCAGTTATAGCGAAATATTGTTTCTGCTGTGCACAGCGCATACGGTAGGCCAATACATGTAAAACCTCACCAGTTGTTGGTGATCTTGCGAAACAAAGAATGGGAGAGCCCATATGTGCCAACAACAAAGGCCGGAATGAATGGGTGGGGACGGTGTGGCTTGCGCAGACAAGCGAAACACATCGCGTTATAGTAGTCTCCGCCTAAAAGCGCGCCATACAAAAGCACGCTCCACTCAAACGCACGTTTTCGTCATATGATGGTTTTTTAAACTATATATGATTTAGACATTCTAACGCACAGTCACTCCCTCTAAACGCACGCTTCGATCTCCGAAACCTGCCGACAGGTAAAGCTTGACAAAGAGAAATGTTTGCTACAATCTGCACAGCCTGCATAAGACAAGCATAGAAAACCTGATATTTGGTGAGACTAGCCCTCACGCAGAACAAAGAGAGTGCAGGACAGTGTTTTCACACCCAACTGTACACTGACACATAGATCTAGGACTGGTCGGTGAAATGTTGGGGAGTTGGGGGCAGGGTTGGGTTGATTTAAATCAGTTGATTTTTTTTATTTAAATCAACTTGATTTTTTGGATAAAAATCAGTGATTTAAATCACTTTTTTAAAAATTTATTTTTATTCAGTTTTTACATATTTCAACATTCAGAATTCCCTTCCTTGGTTTCATAAAATAGATATAAGGTTAAGTAGACTAATATAATCATGTTTAAAAGTCTGCTTTCCCATCTTTCACTGTAAAATAATACAGTATTCAATTTACTTTTTTTTCCATAATTGAAATCAAAGCTGGGTTGATTTAAATCAGTTGATTTTTTTTATATTTCAATCAACTTGATTTTTAAAATAAAAATCTGTGATTTAAATCACTTTTTAACAAATGTATTCAGTTTTTACATATTTGAACATTCAGAATTCCTTTCCTTGGTTTTATTAAACAGATAAGGTTTAGTAGACTAATATAATATGCTTAAAAGTCTGCTTTCCCCCCTGTCACTGTAAAATAATACAGTATTCAATTGACTTTTTTTTATAATTGAAATCAGGGTTGGGTTAATTTAAATCAGGTCGATTTAAATCAGTTGATTAAAAAAATTTTTTAATCAACTTGATTTTAAAAATAAAACTCAATGATTTAAATCACTTTAAAAAAATGTATTTTGTTTTTACATCTTTAAATATTCAGAATTCCTTTCCTTGGTTTTATAAAACAGTATATAAGGTTTAGTAGACTAATAAAATCATGCTTAAAAGTCTGCTTTCCCCCCTGTCACTGTAAAATAATACAGCATTCAATTTACTTTTTTTCATTATTGAAATTAACATTTTCTTTTTCTTTTTAGACAAACACAAGCGCGTGCACACACACACACACTGTAATAAAATGCAAGTTTATCTATGCATAATTACCCCCCCCCCCTTCCTTTTAGACTGTCTATATATATATTTTTTGTCTGTAGCCATAATTATATATATAATATATATATATATATATATATATATATGATATATATATATATATATATATATATATATATAATATATATACTATTATGTAGCAGATTAAGGCTTTCTTTTGCAGTTGCTTAAATTAATCATTAGTTAAAATAAAGACAATGCATTTTGCACTAAAAGAACATACTTTTAGCAACCAAAAATCCCAAACTGTGTCGACATTTAAAAAAAAAAAAAAAAATCTGATTTAAATTTAAAAAATCATGATTTAAATAAAAAAAATCGATTTTTTAAATTTTTATGAAAAAAAAATAAAAAATCACCAACCCTGGTTGGGGGACTGAAATGTTTTTTGATTGGTCACTGGAAATGCATCTTGGAAAGAAGGTGTCTGACTGGGGATTAAGTGACTACATGTAATGTTTAGTTAGAACAAGGCCTATGATGTGCAACACACGTGAATGCTGTAAAACACTAGATAGGCCTCTATTGGATTATAGATTAGTCAAGTAAGCCTAATCAGCTGTGCTCAAAGAACTTGTAACGTACTTGTTTAACGAATCACAAGAGAAATGTTTCTCTGAATGTAGAGTTTTATGATTCTGGTGTCGCCCAGGAATTTACGGTCGGGGGTGGTCGCTTGGAAAGCCACGTGGCCGGGCCGTCGTCTCTATGACTTTCACCAACAGTTTCCCCTTAACCTATCAGTTCCTGCCGATTACATTGCGTCTGTTTTTCTGCGCCGCCCCCCATTCAATGCCTTTGTATTCTTAAACGCAGTCGGGGAATCCTTCACAAAACAGTCACTTGTCGTCACATTATCGACCAGTGACCCCCACCCTTCAAGGGATGTCACGAGAATATCAAGGAATTGAGATGACTACGTCCCTTCCTCTCTTTGCACAGGTTCATGTCAACGCACGCTTTGTTTGCAAATTTATTGTCTAGATCTTGAGAAATTATCAGTGCGAAGATTCTACAGCACAAGAACGCGATAAGGACTGCAATGAAATATATTATGCTAAAACTAGTCTACTAAAATCAAGAATAATTCAAAGTGGTGTTCCGAGGTTGTGACATGCAACATTCAGACGTGAAAATTGTGGAAAATTAGGGTATACGCTGGGTAACTGTATTGTGAAGGTGCATTATTCATTATTCCCAGGTTTGCCTTCTATCAATCGTGCGATGATAAATTAATTGAATTATAGTAGCAATGGAAGGGGAACCTGCTTTTGAACATTGCCAGCAATGGAAAGATATGTAGGTGAAAAAATCAAATAAGACAAAAAGTTCGCGAACAAATAAATGTTATGGTTTTAGGCAATCTCTTCAAACAGGCTCCCAAATGCCATTTTTAACCCTCTAAAAGCACTAAATTTCAATTTCTTCAGGGGCTCCCCCACCGGGACTCTGTCCCTAGACCCCCGCCAGAATTTTTCTTACTCTTCAGCTTCAGTTGGTGGAAGCACTGATATTTCTAAATGAGCTCTTATTTCTAAAGTTAAAAGTACACGACTTCAGGTAAAAATAATATTTAAGATGTTGCAATATTCCAGAGAAAATGAAAAATTTCATTATTGTGTGTTGGCTGTGCCTTCTTGGTTATAGTAATGAGATGTTATAGCTGATAATCATTTTTTCATGTTTTTGTGAGGAACTTTGATCAGCTGGAAGAGTATATCTAGGGGCCATGGGTGTTTGCTGGTCTATTAAAGTATCAAGAAGTTAATAAAGACTGAAGCACCTGTGGGAAAGGCGCTCTGCCTCTGATGGTCTCCGTCTCTCTCTCTGCTTTCCCCACTCATTTCTTCTCATCAAGCATTTAGTTGATCCTTTTTTTAAACTGTACCTTACTTGCATGTGCTTGATTGATCCCTTCAACAGACATTCTATTTTTATTCCTTTCCTTCAACAGACACACTGTTTTTGCAAGCAATACATCGTCAATTCCAATTAAAGATATTGCAGTTGCCACCAAAAGAGGTGACAGATTTGGTGGTCTCCATTTCTTCAATCCTGTTCCAATGATGAAGTTAGTAGAAGTAAGTACAAAAGGCTTTTCTGTGATGGAGCTCAGTTGTCAACAAGTCTTGAAAGACTAAATAATATTTTGAAAAAGCTAATGCGAATGGAACATGGTTAAAACTATTGTTTTACCAATGCTTTGTTTACTTCTCTTCATAGGTCTGCAATGTCCCTGTGTCTTAACTCATTCGCTATGTATTATTTTAGGCTTGTGGATGATTTTTTTTTTTGGCAGGGCAAAATGAGATTATGACTAGTGTATAGTTCGAAGGTCTTTGGGGCCACAAATCCAAATAAATATCAACATATTTTTCTCCTAAATTTTCTGTATGAATTGTAGACTACATCTGCTTTGTTTGTATTGTGTATTTTTCCCCAGCTACTAATCAATACTTATATTTCAATGATAAGCTTGTCTTGACATAAGGTGACCAGGCATAGCATGTTCAAATTGTAATGATGCACTAGTTTCCTTTGAGTAGGGTGAATGTTATATCTACGTAATGAATTGCACGCTGGACTGTGGAATCAAACATTGCTGTATGCTAGGCTCTATACAGCAATATGACTTGTTTGGCATACAATACGTTATAGATGACACAGGCGTGCATTTGGACGAATCGACCCCTTTTTTTTTACAGTGTGTGCTTGGTAGAGTTCAGTATTTTTTCCTGGAATTTTCCAGCATTTCTTCGGTATCAAAGAAACGAATATCCCTCTCATTTGAAACTTAACTACTTTTGATTGAGAAAGTTGAATACACTATACCTTACTTGCTCGGTGCCTTTAATTATCTTCACAAAACCCTATGTTTGCTATAATGAACTCTCAGATTCAACGAAATTGAAGGCCAAGCCCAATGACTTCGTTGAATCCGAGTTCCACTGTATTGTTAGTTTTTTTAACCTAATATTTTGTTGTTTTTTAACTAAGTGAATAAAAACTTTGCAGGCAGATACTACAAGTACAAGACATGATTAAGAAATGAACAGAAGATCGTTTTTACTGAACAATTATTTTGATTTTTACATAATAAAATCATGAAGGGTTTTGTGTAATACAATTTGCATTCTAAATTCTTATACATAAACTCTCAGAAATCAAAAATGAAAACTCTGACATTTAAACAGTAAACAAGGAGTAATCTTACTTCTGCCAAGTTTCAGTGGATTTGCTTGAAAAACAAAAAAAGCATAACACACACAATTTTGAAAAAATAGCCGATAAAGATCAAACCAATAATAAATTTGCCTATTACACATTTAAAGAAAACTTGATAATTACTATTACTATAGTATTATCGAATGCATTTTGGAGCTGTTTTCGACTGCCAAATGATAGACCAATGATTGAGGAATGCAAAAATACCGAAAAATCTAAAATTGCCCCCAAAATGATTTTTTTTATATTTTTTTTAACCCCCACATGCCCTTAAGTTTTTGGAAGCTGTATGCGTTTTGCTTTTTTAATGATTTTAAATAGTGTAATGAGAAAGTATAATTTGGTCTCAAACAAAAGAATAGAAAGTGCTTTGCTTATTTGCATACAACGCTTGTTTTTTCTAAAAATTACATTATTGTATAACGTGGAGTCCACTCAAACTGAAAATGGTGAGTCAGAAAACAACGGTAAACCTTAAGAATATAAAATTCCTGATTTATGTTTTTCTTTGCCTTTGTAAGAAAACTATAGATAAAAGCTGAAACGCTCACATTTCTAAATGGAAAAGATTTTGATGGTTATGTCAACTAAATCTTCTCAGCAACCCTCATGTAATATCAAGTTTTATACGTTTCAAGGTAGCAAACAGTATCAACCTTGGGCCAAACTGTGTGTCTACATTTATCACTAACATCAATGGACCTGCACACTGTGTATGGGCATAGTGAGGCAAGGATAGTTAATACACGTCTGAATTCTGATGCGCGACCTTTGGTTGGCTGTGGCCTATTGTTTCTGTGAAGTTAATTCACGTAGACCCTACACGTGAACACATTACAGCATGTGGTATGTTTCATGGCGTCACTGGCACTGTGCTTTCTCAACTTTTCAGACTAGCACAGAGCACAGTACAATGTGCTCATCTACTCTTGTGTCTGTTCTCTGTAACTGTTTGGCAGATTAAGCAAGCTGACGATGTCGAAGAGAAAGCACTATGTGTACAGTCTGCTGCTCATGTTGCAGTTACCTAAAGAAATAGATCGGAAAAGCTTTCAAAAAGTGAAATTTAAGTCATACATGGCATTCCTAACTCTACTTTGTCAACGGTCGTCACTATTTGAGCAACCCTTTCTAAGCTGAAAACACGACTAAACCGAAGAAAATTCGGCTGTCCTGCAGATTTCAGTTCAAGCGGACTCCACCATTATCTATATTATATATAAATAATATTATATATATACAGGCCTGTGGAATTTTTTTTGTAGCATTGTTGGTTATTATTTTTGTGGCATTTAATTTTTTATGTTTCTGTACTTTGCATCAGTAATTCCTTTTTTTAAGTGAAGTTGTATGTTTTTAAAAAATCTTGCAACAGGTCATTAGGATTCCAGAAACATCAGAGGAGACTTACAATGCTTTAGAGGCCTTTGGAAAAGCTGTTGGAAAGAAAACTGTCCAATGCAAGGTGCGCTTTCAATACAGTATTGATTACCTTAGATTGATTTAAAAAGTGGTGTATAAATGGTAGATCTTGTAAATGTCTGAATTTTATATTGAGTGAAAAGCAGAACAGAGGGAAAGAAATGAGTGTCACTGTGTTTTGGTTTATTTGTTTATGGTTGTTGGTTTTTATAGAATGGCTTTTAAGGGTGTTGAGTGGGTCTTTTTTTTCCTCCTTTCTATAGTACGAGATATTATGCATTATAACTATAACAAGCTTCGTTGTTGTTAGGGGTTAATAAAATTTCTACCTCAAATGAAGAGTTGGTACCGATAGCTTTTCAGGGGAAATGCTGCAGGGTCTTCAAGAACTTTTACACTCTCTGCGTTGATTTTTTACTTTGACAGAGGAATGGATGTTAGAAGTAGAGGAAGAGGTATGAAGAAGATGTGAAGAGCTGAAAGACGCAGAATTAAAAGTATGTGTAGTAAGCGTGAGACTCTGTGTTTGCTAATGAAATGTCAATAACACTTCAATGTTATAACAGGTTGTGTTGTGTAGCAAATTGTGCGTTGACCTTCTCCTTTCTACATCTGCATTTTTCACTTGATTGTGACTGAAAGTGAAAGGCTTTTAGGGAGTGATTATTTTTTATTTTTTTTACCTTTTCATTTCTCAGGATGAAAAAGGTTTCATTGTCAATCGCCTCCTCGTACCTTACATGGTGGAATCCATAAGACTGGCTGAAAGAGGTAATATTTGCAACTGAGGTTTTGATAGAGAATTGTGCTTGACTTAATTTTAATGCAGTTGTTTTACTTTTAGATTAAATTTTTCTTCTTGCACCATTTCTTTTTCATGGTCTTTGGTGGCGTGCAATGTTAAATGAAGATATGGTGCTTATTATTTTCAGATTATTTCTGCCAATTTTTGTCTTTCATTCAAGCTTATTCTGCCAAGCTGACAAACGCTTAAAAAAAAATTCACAGCAGTTTCGAGACTTCTTGTCAGCGTAACTATTTTGAAATAGTTATTCCGAAATTTGAATTCTGACTAATTTTTTTAAGATAGCCGGTTTTGCTTCCTTTTTTTCACACGTGGGTAACTAATCAGGTTTTTGATTTAGCAAATAAAAAAATTTGGCGTAAAAAATGAAAAAAGGCATTTTGTCAGCTTATGGCAGTATATAAGCTACTGGTATTTTGAGATTGTTACAGATTTGTCTAACATGGGAGGTGGAGTGATGAGCCCTCTCATGCTTTATGGGAAGAATTATCCTTCTATCTTTGCCCAGTGTGTTACATGGCGTCAGTTGGCTAGTGCTTATGCAATGGGACCCGGAATCGTAAGATTGGGGGTACGGGGGTTCGAGCCTCATATCGGTCCGACTTTGTGTCCTTAGGAAAGGCACTTTACACAAATTTCCTCTCTGGCTCGGTCCTTTCGAAGGTAGATGTTAAACTCGGAGGTGCCTCCTCGTAAAAAACTTAACTTAACTTTGATGGAGCGTTAAACTAACCATTTCACTTACCAGTGTCTTGTGTGGTTTTGATACGACTATTATGTGCAGCACGCATGAATGCTGTAAAACACTAGATAGGTCTCTATAGGATTAAAAATTTGTCAAGTTAGCCTAATCAGCTGCACTCGAAGAACTTATTACATAGGCCTACTTGTTCAACGAATCACAAGAGAAAGGTTTCTCTGAATGGAGGGATCTGTGATTATGATGTTCGTGAATTTACGGTTGGGGGTGGTCTCTTGGAAAGCCACGTGGCTGGGCTGTCGTCTCTATGACTATTATCAACAGTCTCCTTTCAGGCTATCTGTTCCCAACATTTCATGGTGCAGTGCGTATCATTTCATTGGGTCTGTCTTTCTCCCCCCAACCCCACCCATTCAACTCCTTCATATTCTTAACCACAGTCGGGGAATCTTTCACAACAGTCACGTGTCGTCACATTATCGGCCAAAGTGACCACCCACCCCAAAGGGAGGTCACTAGAATATCAAGGCAGTGAGATGACTGCATCCCTTCCTCCCTTTTCAAAGGTTCATGTAAACGCTCGCTCCGTATAAACACACCCTAAGGAGCTCTCCCGAGCACCGTACGTTTTGGCGGAGACAACTGTACACCAAAGCAAAAGCACTTACAGACAGGCACAAATATCATGAACACAGAAAACTCGAAATCACGGATAGCTCATCGTACAATTTGCCATTCCCCTGCTAATACTGATACCTCTCTGATTAGAAAACAATCTAGTTTACCCGAATTATGGATGTATTGAACACATTTTCAGTCCATGATTTGTTCGAATTATCCATCATAATCCATGCCTGACTATACTAACTTCAAGAACAAAATATTGTAAGTTGCATTATTTCTTACTTGCAATTGCAGGGGATGCATCAACCCGCGACATTGACGTTGCCATGAAGCTTGGTGCTGGGTACCCAATGGGACCCTTTGAACTGTTGGACTATGTGGGCCTGGATACCATCAAGTTTATCTTGGATGGTAAGTACTTTTTAGTATCAATGAATTCAAAAAAATAAAAAAATTTTGGGTTAAGTGTTTTATGGTGCTTGCAACTGTATCAGGTCATATGAGGTTGCGGGACACCTTGAACATTTTCAGTTGGTAGGAAATTCTAAATTTTGCAGGAGTGTAGACCGAAGCCTACTCTTTTCAATTTTTTACCACCAAGGGATCTTTAATGTGCTCAACTTGCACACGTGACTACTGTGATTTTTCGTCCTTGTCCAAGAAGGCTAGATGTAGCTCCTTTCCTACTGTAAGATCAGGGGTGTGGCTGAAAGACAGCAGTAAGAAAGGGCCAAGGAGTAGCAGAAGAAAGGCTGCAGAAAGAATCAGGAGCCCAGAGGAGGGAGCAGAGGGAGTGGGGGCAGAGAGTGAAGACGAAAGTAGACAACAGAACGTTGCTTGAGAGCAGGAGGTGAAAGGAGACAATTTAAAGAAGAAAAATTTCAGTTGCTATCCAGATTCGAACCCGGGACCTATTGAATGAGAGGCAAACACTTTTATTTCTAGGCAACGAGAGCCCATCTGTTAGTGAATGACCAAAGACGTACTAAGATAAATGGAAGAAAGAAAGCTGTTAAAATCAAATATATCCCTCTCAGACTGAGCTGTCCCTGACAATTGCCGTAACTCTTTCCTGACGTAGTTCTTTTTCTTTTTTTTTTTGCGGTCTAGACGTAAGTAACTTGTGGCACGATTTGGCTACCAGGTAGTGTACAAAATAACTTCATATAAACATAACCATCACTCAAAACGTAACATATTATATATATATATCAAATTGAAGGAAGTGGAATGAGGAATACATCCCAACATAAAATAAAGATTAATTTTGAACATAAGTATGCATTATAAGGGTTAGAGATGGCGATGGTGATGTGAAAAATAAATTTTGACGGAAAATATTACATTCACCAAACATGTGAAAGCAAATCAGCATAGCTATCTTATCATATACAGGCCAAGAGCATAATCCATTAATTTCTGAATGCGTAACTTTTTATTTGAAAGCAATATTCCAATTTTTGTTTAGTTATAATATTATACTGAGTCCGGTTACATCGTTTTGTTGATGCAAGAACTAATTCGCTCGTTTCCCACCAAACCCACGCTTTGACAAAGTGAAACTAGATGTTTTCATTTCCTAAATCCATTCCAAGTTTTCAATAATAATAAAAAGTAATTATAAAAGACAGATTGTGTTAAAACAAAACAATACTGAGGCACCCGTTCACAGCTGATATATCGGCGATACGTCCAGAAAGAGTTATTCTCCAAGTTCCACAGAGTGAGTTGGATAGAATGGTGCGGTATGAGTCATATTTTAAAAAGTTGTTACAAATACTGATGGAAAGAATGATTTGGAGTTCTCGTGATCCAAACAGTTCTTCTGAAAATAATGGTAAACCAAAAACAATAAAATCCTTGATTTCTTATTTTCTGTTTCCCCACTCCTACCCCTGCCCCCTCCTCTGGGCTCCGGACTCTTTCTGCAGCCTTTCTACTGCTACTCCTTGGCTCTTCCTTACTGCTGTCTTCCAGCCATACCCCTGATCTAACATCTAGCTACCCCCCGGGCGGTGCTACTGACTGAAGTGTCTTTAGACCATTCCCAAAGGGGTGACATTAACCATGTTCTTGTGCACAGTAGAATTGTAATTCTAAATGGGCTGATTCATCAATGTCATGCTCATAAGTGCCTGAACTGCAACAGGGAACTGCTGCTTTTTCTTTCCTAATCTTTACTATCGTCATTTTTCCTCTACTTCTTTTGTATGTTTGTCACACTCTTGTGACCCGCTATTTCCGGGGTGCCTTGATAGTCGAAGCAGACTTTGTGCTGTTGAAGCAAGAGAGGTGAGCAGAGTAAGTCTGATTCCCTGTAAGGAACTCTCTGTGAACAACCAACCTTTGGCGTTTATATGACCTTGTGCAGTTGCGAGCGCCATAAAAGCTCTACTAAAACTATCACCTAGTCTTCTCGGATAAGGACGAAAAATCTCTGAGCTCCTCCTATGTGCAAGTTGCACACATTGAAAAACCCTTGATGGTCTAAAATCGATAAAAGTAGGCTTCGGGCTCGGGTGCCACCTGAGCAAAATTAAAAATTAATTCCTTCCAAACTAAAAATGCTTAACTCATGTGAGCCTGAGCTATTTTTCACCCAACAACCATCGCAGCCTGACAGTTTTGGGGTATATTGAATCGTTGACCGCAAAAAGACTGTGAAGGGTAGAGGTGGGCAAAATCTGGTTAATCTACAAGAATAACCGGATAATTCTCAATAAAACATTATCCGAATTCAGACTCTTAACTTTCTTTCCTGACCCGTTTGCCGAAGTGGGTGCACCCATTTGTTGAAGTGATTATAAACCATTTGCCGAAGCGGCTCATATCATATTATTTGCCGAAGAGGTGCACTAACAAAATATCCGGATTTTGCTAAAGCGACTCATTGCCCAGCCCTAGTGAAGGGTACCATAATAAAAAGAATGCAGCAAAAGAAAGAAAAATGCTTTTGCAGAATAAGAAAACTGTGTCTAATATGTCCGAATAGGATTTATTTTATCAATATTTTGAAATGGCAATGGGTCAACTGTTGGCTTGACGCTTTCTGTAGCCTATTAATGAAGAGCACGGGAGATATCGATTGGTGATGCGCATCCTGTAAATACACTGGAATAGATTAAAAGTGAATGAATGTTCTGTGCACTCATGTTACCTTATGCAGTTGGGAGCGCTGTTAAACACTTACCAAAACAAAACAAACAAAAAATCTTCACCAGCAACCCTAAAGGAACGCGAGATATCGATTGGTGATGCGCATCCTGTAAATACACTGGAATAGATTAAAGTGAATGAATGTTCTGTGCACTCATGTTACCTTATGCAGTTGGGAGCGCTGTTAAACACTTACCAAAACAAAACAAACAAAAAATCTTCCCCAGCAACCCTAAAGGAACGCAGATCATCCAAGTCTTTTGTGCTTCAAGATGGTGAAACAAAAGACATCACAAAGATTGGAAAAATGTATGTCATACTGAACATCTGTATGACAAACAAGATAATAACACCTGTATAATGTGTGTGTCGATATGGGCCAAAGGAAGGCATTGCCAGAGTAGTTTGCCTACATATATATACACACATCAATAGCCCTAGAAGTAGATAGAAAGGATTTGAGAATTATTAGGAATCTTAATGGGGACCAAATCCCTGCTGTAAAAATTAAGTTATCATATACAATGAAACAGTTCTTAAAAATATAGAAGACAGCTCGGGTCTTTAAAAGTAAATGGGGAAAATATCAATATCATCAAGTATGCCGATGACAGAGTTTTAATTACAATTACAGATTTTTAAAAGTACCTTCAATTGCTTCTTGATACTGTTGTGACGGAAAGTGAACACATGGAGTTATTTTTAAATGTAAGAATAACAATGAGTGGTAATCTAAAAAATCTGTAAATCCTATTTGTAATCTCATAAGCAAAGGTGAAAGATCAAACGAGTTCCTAAGATTTATCATTACATACATCGCTCAGTCAGGCGGTTCACTGAAAGTGCCAAAGTAAACACATTCTTTGTTCGTTTGTCAGACAGATGTTCAGTATGACATACATTTTTCAAATCTTTGTGATGTTTTTACTCAGAAAGCTTTTCATTTTAACTTCACATCTTTTCTCTTTGCTTTACAGTCAATTTACAGAATATTTCTCTTAAAATTACAGTATAACGCGACTTTGTCAAACACAGAGTATCCGAAACCATGCATCCGGTGAACTGTGCCTACAGTCATGTTTTTTGTTTGTTTTTTTCTTTATCTTTGTAAGAAAATGACGCGAAGCTCGAACACAAACACAAAATAGTCAAACTAATTACTCCACCATAGAGGTCTAAAGTCAATGTCCTTTGAGGTGCACTTCAGACAAAATTTAAACACAGAAAAAGACAAGGTCAGTAAAATAACCCCCTCAGAAGCTGCTAGCTGTGCTTTTTTTTAGCGCACTCCTCGACACGCATGCCCTGTACCTGTGCCCAGGTCCTAGGCCTTTAAAACGAGTGAAAGGAAAGGTTGTGCTTCACACAATCTGCCGTCCCACCCCTCTGCAAAGGACTGCACACTTGGTGGAAGAGGCAGGGAAGGGCTGCATTGTTTCGTCTGCACATTGTTGATTACCGTTGCGACATGCTTATCTAGTCACATTTTTAATGTGTTGGATGTTTGAAAAGCACCGTTCCATTGGTGCAAACTAAAGACCACTCACACTGGCCCACGCAGTTAAACTGTCTTGGTACTGGTGTAGTAGGCTCGTTACTGATTGAACTCGAAAGTGTTGCTCCTCGTGTTGCTCGTTTTCGATTTGTCAATTTCAAATTATCTCAAATTTCAAATTCAAGTCAATAGGCATAGATCTAACCTGTCTGATCAAGGACAATGGCCGAAAAAAGAAAAATCTGTTCCAGCCCGACGTTTGTTGCTCCCCTTGATTCTCTGACACAGCCGATGCCATAGCCCTGTTCACGTGTCCCTCGAACTACCGAGGCCGGTCCCAATGAATTCGAGCTATCTGTGTTATATTGTAGGTATATATATCTGATCACTTTATGTTGACCATTTTCTTCTTTCAGGCTGGCATGAAAGTGATCCCACCAACCCTCTGTTCCAGCCATGTGAGAGTTTGAACAAATTGGTGAAGGAAAACAAATTTGGCATGAAGACAGGAGAAGGGTTCTACTCTTATGACAAATAAGTTGCTCAGGGAATGGTGTGCTTGTTTGAACTGTTAAAAAATGAGGAAAGAAATTTATGGTGAATAAGTGAACAATTTTTTTAGACTTGGTTGTATGGAAAACAATATCAGGTTCTGTGGATGTCTCTCATTTCTTTGTTGCAGGATCAGTTGGGGGGGGGGGGGGGGTAAAAGTTGTGCTTTCTGTAACAAAAACAACACACACGTGTTCGTACTTAGAAGCATACTTTATTTTGTTACCGAACTTTTAAGTAACTTTCTTACTTTCGGAATGTAATCAATGTCAATAGTCTTTTCTTGGTTGTGGTAAATATTACCTTTAAAAAGATATTTGATAACAATTATAACCAAATAATATACATAACCAGGGTTTGTTTTGATTACTTGTAGTTAGACACAATCATACAACATCATAATATTGTTTAATGGCAGCTTAAACTAATTATATCGATCCTTTTTGTGTGGGTTTTTTATTTTTAAATTCAGTTTTAGGTTCTACTGTCTGAATTCGGCTATTTGTTTTAAAAGAATAATATTTTGAGTGTGTTCTTTGTTGCTTAGTCAAAGACAATTTACCTGTTACTCAGTACCAAAACTATCTTGTAGTTACTGTGATACTTTTTTTGTTGAGTTATTTTGATTCTGGGTGGAAGGTTCCATGCCCTATCAGTATTGAATTGATATGAGGATTAGAGAATAAGTCTCATGGTGGAACTGATGATTTTGTTTTTGTTTTGATGTGATAGATGGTGGGGCTGTGGAGGTAGCAGGAAAATTTGTAGTTTTGTAGTGCTGTTGATTACGTTGTCGAAGCTGTAAGCACAAAAGTGGTGATGTTAATTGTTATGACCATTTAGAGCTGGAAAGATAAAATAGCCTTTCGTATGTTATGCAGACCAATTCATAGTATAACACAGTCACTGATGTACCATGTACTGATATTTGTTTGTTAACTACAAAGGAGAGTGGTAAATGCACAGCTTGTCTTGCATTGAGATGCTCACATGCTGGTGTAAAGCCACTCTGCGGGTCTTTCCATGCCTGTTGCTTTGTAAAAATGTGTACTTCATCTACCTGCCTAGAATGTGGTGAGATCGGGAGATGTGTCGGGTTGCCTTCACTGTGAGTGTGATATTGTTCTAAATGGTTAAAGGTTTTTGGAAATGATCAATAAAATTGATGAAATGTTATAAAGCTCACTTTTGTTTGTTGATTGTCATTGATTTGTTTGTCTTTTTCCATTTTCTCATTTAAAAGCTTTTAAGAATATTAAGATCACATCGACCTATGCAAATTAAATGATTTTTGCTTGTCCAACAGACATCTCTTTACTCATAAAAAAAGCTAAATTTTGAGTATGAGCCATTTGTGTACATGTATTTTTAGCAGGCTCATTTCTAAAATTACAGATAAAATCATGGATGCATAAATTCTTTTGGCCTTCCCCAACCATACAGTTTAATGAACATTCTACATTGTAAAGAACATTTGTTCATCTTGGTTCTGTGAGGTGCTTTGGTGTAGACTTTTTTTACACTAGAATGAGAAAGTAGGTGTGTGTTTGGGGAGGGGTTTGTGCCCATAGTCCGTCTCTACTTCTACTGGCATCTGTGGTGTAGATTGTAATTGTCAGTAATGTCAGGCTCATAGCCTTGCATGCAGAAGACAAGAGTTTGACTTCCACATTGGGAGGTTTATTTATCGAATGGTACATTGCTGTCTGTCAGTCTGCTTGGATGTTGTATCCCACTCATCCTGGCGGGGCCATCATAGCATTTCTCCTACTATAATAATTGATAATTGTTTTAGGGAGTTGGGTTGGATGTTAACATTTTTTCATCAAGTCAATTCTGTCCTCTTCATTTATGAGACATTTTTATTGTATTATATAATGATTACTGTGGAAGACTAAGGCCTCCTAGTCATTCTCACATAAGTGCAATGTGTACTTATCTCTAAATTGAAATCTCTTTCTCAACTTTCTGTTAGCACAAATTGGTTGATGGACCCGGGTTTGTTGGTAGGAGGGAAGGGGTCAGTGCCATTGATGATAGGTTCTTTTATTCTTTTCTTTCCTTTCCTTTGGGTTATAATTTCAGTATGTTTGTCTTGCTTTTTCTATATTTTACTTATTTAAATAGATCTAGCCATTGGGTCGACATAGGCCTACTGCTCTTTACTCGCACCAAAATTCATTGAGACTGGGAAAGATGGTCTCTAAGTAGTAAGTAAGGGTTTCTTGGCTGCTCCGACAGTTTTCAGCCTTTACTACGATACAAATGACGTCACAGATGCCATGCGTTCTTTTCTTCTTCTAAACCTTTTAACGTTTAGGATTTAATCTGTTCCATTATTTTTTTTCTAGAGAGAGGAAAAGTGTGTGTGGGTGTGTGTGTGTGTGTGTGTGTGTGTGTGTGTGTGTGTGTGTGTGTGTGTGTGTGTGAGTGTGTGTTTGTATGAGTGTGCATTTACTAGGTGTAACAGGTGTTTACCCACAGGTCCAGTCTACTGAAACTAAAAAATAAGCATAATATACTTTGGACAAATCAGAGGGTCCATAGTTTACTTCTTGTGATATATGTACTTATTTATACCATTTATTATAATTTAATGATAATCCTGTACAAATGAAATGACCAGTGTGTAAGTCTCGAGAAAACCTCCTTCGCAATTCACGTGTTTACACTGCGCTGATACAGGAAGAAAAGGTCTAGCTAGCTATATTATCTTTCATATTGTGTAATCGCTGAGCTCTGCGTGTATGGCCTTTACATAACAGTTACGGTGTTCTCTTCCAATGAACGCTCCACGTAAAAAAACGCGGTCCGCATAATAACCCACCCTTTTGTCTGTGTCGGAGTTTTTTTCACTATAATTGACAAGTCTAAGAATCCGTTTTATAACAATAATAATAGATCTAGAGATCTGATCTCAGTTTGGGTTCAGAGGGGTTGCTTTCTGAGCTGCTTACAACACTTCAATCATTAAGAGGAGGGGGGAGGGGGGAGAGTGTTTTTCGGCGCTCACAACGGCACAAGGTCATGTGAGCGCACGGGACACATTAAACATTTTCAGTTTGGTTGGAAATGATTTTGATTTTTCCCCGGGTGACGGCCGAAGCCTACTTTTATCGATTTGGACTAAACTTGCATACAGGACCTCCGAGATTTTTCGCCCTTATCCGAGAAGGCTATGTGTTAGATCTTACCTACCCTAAGATCAGGGGTGTGGCTGAAGGACATCAGTAAGAAGGAGCCAAAGAGTAGCAGTACAAAGGCTGCAAAAATACAAAGGAGCCCGGTGGAGGGGGAAAGGAAGGGGGGGGGGGGGGGGCAGAAAGTTGAGACGAAAGCAGACCACAGAACAGAGAGAGCAGAAAAGGAGGTGAAAGAAGAAAATTTCTGTCGCTGCCGAGTTTCGAACCCGGGACCTATTGAATGAGAGACGAACATCATACCCTCAAGACCACGAGAGCCTCCGAAAGTGGTTTTTGATTGTTAAAAATACAATCATAGGCTATCTTTGGAAAAAGAGCCCGGTCTTGTCTCATAAGAGGTGGTTCATTCACAAGCATTCTTTGTCTCTTCACTTATGTCGCGCTGCGGTTGGTTGATTTCATAGTTTCATTCGCTGTTGTCAAATCATAATGCTATTGTCACGCGTCTCAAATTCAACCTGAAACTTCTAGTTCTCATTTGCACCCAAAACAGCGTAAGCCACAACCTACCCTAAGATCAGGGTGTGTGGTTAAAAGACAGCAGTAAGAAGGAGTAGTTGTAGAATTTAGAAAGGAGTGAAGGGGAGAGGAGCCCATATGATGGAAGGGGGTGGGGGTGGGGAGAGTTGAGATGAAAACAGAATGACAGAACATGACTAGAGAATATAATATGTGGGAGAAAGGAGGCAATTTTAGAGAAGAATATTATCCCGTCGCTGTCAGGTTTCGAACCCGGGACTGTGAATATGCGGGAACTAGCCTTACATTATTATGATTATAATGCACCATCGTCGCTAACAGTAACAGCAGTGGAATAATACTAGAATCTAGTCTCAACTTCAACTCGGCTGAGCGAAAGTTTCTCGGCACAGCTAATCGACTGGTCCTGCCAGAATAGGGAACTCGTTAAGCAGCCGTGGACACGACGGACTTCAACTGCCAGGAAGCCCTACCTGTCATGATTCCCGAGTACCGTACGTACCGAGTTAGCCCATCAAACGTGGCCGTCGCCGTCCTACACACACACACAAAACAACGGGTTGTCACTGGAGCGGCGACGTTGGCTTACTGGCTGGCAAATTAATGCCATCACGTGCCCGTTCCAGCGCTGTCGTGCAAGGCTACTTGGGGAACGTGGAAGCCGAGATCTTGACGATTTTGTAATGTAGGCCTAAAAAATAGACGATTGTTGTTATCAGTGGCGAAGTGTCTATATAATCAAATAATCACTGCTTCCCTTCCTAATTTTGAAACATTGCCGCAGTCAAATTCACCCATTGACGTAAACCTCATACATTAAATATAAAAAGACGCTCATAATCACCAATGAAAGGTATTCCTAACATTCAGAACGGTTTCATAGCCACAGAAATAGCCTGTTCACCCCTATCTTGCCACTCCATAAGCAGTCGCAAGCTTTGATTAAGTAAGTCTACAGTGAGGCTGGAAGAGTCTGCCAAAAGATTTGAAGGGAACATGTGTGCTACAGTCAAATCTGTTTCATTGCCACATATACCCTGTTCACCCCTTTCGGGCCACAGTTATAAGCAGTCACAAGAACTGATTATGTAAGCGAACTATTACACTGGTCGAGTCTACCTCACAGATGTGAGGGGAACTAACTCCTAATAATATCTTGACTGCTGCAAGTGCTTGTTTTTTTCCCTCGACTTTTTACCGTCCTATAATCAGATCGTGACCTCGATTATGACACCGGCTCCTGGCCGCCAAACGCAAGACAAAAACAGCCAAATGTGAAATAAAAAAAATTATAATTGTCATGTTCTACCAAAGAGTTTAGTCTCGCTGGTATTACATACTGTAGAACTGACATCTCCTTTTCTTTGCTTTGTGTTTGTGTATTCACATCTAAAGATAAATGTAATGTTTGTTGGGAAAATATTTATGAGATACTTTCCCGATTATTTTAGCGGTTGAACATGCATACAACAAGAAACGCAGTGTTGCTGCCTCGAGTAAGATTCTTGTGTGATATCTCCAGGCTCTATACTGGTCCCATCTGACTTTGATTACATTACCCTGTGAAACAAGTCAGCCTTCGCCCCTGGTTGTTTTAGTAGTCCTACATGTAGTAGGCGAAGATGTTGGGTTCATAGAATCTACCAACGGGGATTTTCACCACCTCTGTAGAGATGAAGTTTTGAATGATGAGGAGAAGTGCTTATCTTAAACTTCAAATGAAACCAAGCACTTTTAATTTACTTGCTTCTAGATTTGATAGAACCATATATATCACAAAGGGGGAAACAAATTTCCAAAAACCTGTCCGTGATAACTTTGAGGTAGGCCTATGGGCAGTTTAGAACTTTTTACTTACAACAAATTGCATTGTGTTTCGAAACCTTTTATTGTCAAAAGAGGCATTTGGTCATTTGCCTCTACTTCGAGAGAGGGCCACTGGCAGTAGACACAATGGAATAATAACAATGACTAATGACCTTGCTCAAGGATCAACCAAGCCCTGGGTGGGGTTCGAACACGGGACGCACCTGTTACAGTGTAATTGTTTATCCATTTGGTCACCAGTCAAAAATGGTTAAAATTGTAGGGTGATACCCTTTCACAAACTAAACATACACTTGACCACTTAGTGAGTGAAGTACAGTCGAGCACAATTGTCTCCAACACTGTAATTTCGGAAACACAGAAGCGCCGAACTGTTTTTTTATCCTCAAGTCTCAAACATGTTGCATTTTCAACATCACCAAAGACGCAGGCCTAGGCCTAGCCTAATGTATCGTAGCTGCACACTGAGAAAAAACTTAGCCTACCGTCCGTCGATGAAACGACGCTAGATATCCAAGCACATAAATTTCGACGGATCATGTCCTTGAGGAAATCGAAATATCCGTTGTCGACTGTATTGTCTGTTTTCACACATAATTTACGCTTTGGGCATGCTTCCGCCCACTTTGGATGTCTTTCAGTTCAGTTCACTCAATTGACCACTGTATTGATTGATTTTACATATAATTACATCCTTGCCGCTGGCGGAAAAAAACTTGAGCCACTCAAACATAGTTAATGAGTACTGCTGGTGCTGGCTGTACTAATACAAATACTGATAGAGCAGTAGTCCTGTGGGGGGGGGGGGGGGGGGGGGGGGGGGGGGGGGTGGCTGATGCACCTGTGCACTTGCATTTGTGTTGTATAACCTCTACTAACTGTCCTGAAATGAGTCTTCGGTAGTGACAGATGATGGGGATTGCTGATAATTGAGGCGAGATGGATGCCCCTGGCCTTGACTCTGAGATGGCTGCTGTGTGCGTCGCAGATATTTCAGAGCAGTGGCGTTAAGCTCTCCTCGAAGCTCGAACTTTGAAACAGGGTCTAATGATTTCAATGCAGGTAATAAACTTAAAAGGAATTGTTCATCATCGTCCGGTCTTGCCTTCCGTTGTTTTTGCAACACCTTCAATGCATTCAGCATTTCCACATCAAAAGGGGACAGAGAGTCTTGTCTCGCTTGGGAGTGGGGCCTTTTCTTCTTTGGAAGAGGGGCTAGAGGCTGGATGGTGGCATTTGGTGTACAGCTCGGGCCAGGTCGTGAATCCTCCAATGATGATGAATTAGGCCTACCCGGTGAAGCTGAGGAGAGGTTGTCATCCAATGTCTCCTCTTGATGGAAAGATGCTCGCTGGCACTCTTGCTCATTCTTCAGTCCCTCCACCAGATTGCTTGTAGTTGAGGTGCTTCGACCATCAACAAAAGGAACTAAGAAGAGCAAGTTATTGTAAAGGTACCATTTTTTGGGGCCTTTGCCCCCTGATCCAGATTTGAAGGTCGTCTTCTTTTTGTGATGCTTTCGGAAGGAGTCTCTCAGCACTGCCCACTTCTTCTTTGCAGTTGCATCTGTTGAGAAAATACAAAATGAACAACTTTTTTCATTATCAATTAGTAGTAAAGCAAACATTTGCACAGTGTCTGTTAATGGTTGCCCTGTGGAACAATATCCGGAACTTCGAGCTTAAACTTAATGTGGAAGAGTAGCCAGTTCCTTTACCAACTACTTTATATTTGCTGGATCTGAAAAAATTTAACTACCCATTTACTCCACTTCTGAGTGAATAGATCTTCAGCGAAAAAATGGACCGAAGTGGAAATAGAACTCGGGCCCCCTCAAAAGGACACTAACCACTCAGCCACCACGGTGATAATTAAGTACAGAACAGTGGAACTCGGTTTCAATGAACTCGTATTCAACAAAAACTCGGATTCAACTAAAGGAGTAGGATTTCCCGATTTTTTTTTCATTAAAAAAATCAATACTAAAAATAACTCAGATTCAACGAGCACATAAATGAACAAGCTAGGATTCAACGAAGTCGCTTGCAGGGTCAATTGCTCTATGCGACCAATACGCGTCCTCCTTTCGTACCAACACATTCGTTGTAATCCCACACGCATGTCTTAGTTTAGCTTGTGTCGGGGTCGGACAGGGGGTACACACGGTCTGGGCGTGGAACGTCATTAGAGAAACAAACACGACGAGGGTATTTTTGTCCCCGGCTACTGATCAATATTGCAATGATAAGGTAATCTTGACATATAATATGATCTACGTAATGAATTGTGCACTGGACTGTTGAATCAAACGTTGCCGTATGCTATTGCTAGGCTCTACGGCTGTACACAGCAACATAACTTTTTTGGTAAACACTACGTTATAATAGATGACACAGCCGTGTATTTGAACAAATCAGCCCTTTTGCACAGTGTGTTTGATAGAGTTCGGTGTATTTTCCGGGAATTTTCCAGCTGTTCTTTGGTTTCAAAGAAACGAAAATACCTTTCATTTGAAACCAAACTGTTTTTGGTTGAGAAAGTCGAATTTATACGAGATTTCTTGATCGGTACCTGTAATTATCTACACAAAAACCTCATATTTGCCATAACGAACACTCGGATTCATCATAATTGAAGGCCAGGACCAACGACTTCGTTGAATCTGAGTTTCACTGTACTTTTATAGATTCTAACATTTTCAGGTCCCGGTATCTGACTTCAGGAGATAGCCATGTTTCTCTGGCATTTCATTTCCAAACTGAACAGTGTCGACTTTAAAGAGAAATCACAACAGAGCCATGTGCAGTGTTGTGGGACGTCTTACAGCCACATGCCATGCAAGCCCCTGATCGAGAAAAATGGATCAACTCAACATTGCAAATGATTTCGATACGAGATACAAATTCCCCCTTTGCTTTGGAGCAGCTGGTGGAAAGCAAATCAGCATCAGTATCAGTATAAGTATAAGTCAAATATGCATCAGATTCGCTGTACTATAACAATAAGGCTTCTTTTTGATGATTCTCTTTTCTGTTACAGACTCAGATGGGAAATTCACTGTACCTGTAGTTGGCATGGGTTCATGTGGAAGTAATAATGATGGAAAAACCTTCCAGAGATCAGTTTTTGGAAGACAACATGTAACTGAAAAACTCGGCATCCCTGTAGAGGGAACGATACCACAAACGGGTGTCAAAAGTTGGCATTTATATTTGCAGTTGGTGACACTTTTTCCTCTAAGAAACAATATAATGAAACCATTCTCTCATCATCGGCTGACACACGAAAAAGAGATATATAATTCAATACTCGTTCGTCTCGAGAAAGAAATTATGGTGCTGTAACTTCTCTAGGTAGAGTAGCTCAGATGCAGAGAATTTGACTACACCCAATGAACGTTCAACCAAACAATGCGAACGATAATATTGTCACGCCAATCACGTGGATTCATAACTTGGTCATCATACAAGAGCAACACGGTATCAAGGATCCAAAATCAATGGGAACAGTACGACCTACAAAAAGTGCATAAAAAGTTCGAGAAACATTGAGGCACTATTTCATATTTCCTGCTGGAACTCTTCCCTGGCAAAGTGACCAATGTGTTACCAGACGAATCGTCCAATAATGTGTACTTTTCTAACAACCACACATGTGATACCTTCGTCAATTTTTACATTATTTAAACTTGGCAAACACAGTAGCCTACCTGTTTAGTTTTAGTAAGAGTTTTACGGCATTTGCAACACAATAATGCTTTTAAAAACATTAGTGCCGAAGATTAGAGGAGTTACAAGAGAGTAACAGTAACACCAGTGGCGGCTCGTGGTTTATAAAACTGACCGGCCATCATTCACATAGACACTTTCTTCCTCCCCCCACCCCCTTCCTTCACAACACACACACACACACACACACACACACACACACACACACACACACACACACACACACACACACACACACACACACACACACACACACACAAACACAAACACCCAAACACACACACACAAACACATTCTCTCTCTCTCTCTCTCTCTCTCTCTCTCTCTCTCTCTCTCTCTCTCTCTCTCTCTCTCTCTCTCTCTCTCTCTCCTCATTTTATACCCTTACGTTCGCCATCCCCACCCCCTCCCCCCACTCACACATACACCACTATAAACATTTTAATATAATGTGAAAGAGCTGAAATATGGTAGTGTCAAGAAACAATATTAGGATTAATGTATGACGGAAGTTACTGAGTTAATAGAAACGGACTTGAACGGCATAGAAAAAGAAACACTACTAGAGTCTATGCTAGAAAACAAACTGAAAGTGAGAAGCGCAATAAACTGCTGGTCATGGCCTCCGGTACTTTAACCAAGACTTTTACTTTCTACACACAATATCGACGTGCACTCGACCTGTAGATCTAAATATGTAATAAGAACAGTGTACTGTATGATGGCAAAAAGTCAATTGATACTGTACCCATGACGCTGTCCAATGTAGATTAGATTAAGTCTACAATCAGATACTAGGCCTATACAAAGCTGGACAAAGTTAGCACACAACAGTTTTCCATCATTATGTAATCTAACGTTCTTCATCACACTTCTCAGTTCTCAGAACACTGTTGTAATAAAGTGGGGAAGTGTGCCAAATGCTAATTATAGAACTTGATGTCTAGCTGGGGTGACGGTGGATAAGGGGAGGGAAGGGAGGGGGTAGGCCCATTGTTTTCGGCCCGGACTCTGACAGCCGAGTGCCTATCGCTCCTCGTTATAATTCTCCTTATCTTCACTAGATGATTCCTCTTTTCGCCGACTAGACTCGTATATGGGCCAGGCGTGTCATTAGTGGGAAGAAAGCGATGAATAGTCACCAAACCGGAACTATAGGTGGCTAAAAATCCAATAAACAAAAAAGATTAGCTTCATGCAGACAATAAATGTTCTGATGATAGTTAGAGAAAGGCTGAATGATAAAGTACATGTATTGCTGATAAAATATTTCATGTGTCTGTGCTGCTCTAGAATAAAGACAGTTTCATTACTGATTTTGTGAGCAACACGGAGGCCAATTTGGCAATCAAGGGATGCTATATAATATTATTCGCTCTTAGGGCAGTCGATGGATTTGCCCAGCGGACGGACATCATCGCTGTACCCGCCGTGTTCGTTTGTCCTCGTACGAAGTTCCGCGAACTGACGGCTTGACGGGAGACGAATTAAAGTCACGAGCCGGAGCGATTAACATGGTGAAGGAATGAGGCTATGTCGCGACAAAACAGCAGCGAATCCCACTTCTCAATTTGAACGCCTTCAAATCGGCAAGGAGCTTTTTGAACGTTGATACACATGTTTGTTCGGATTTACTTAAAACCGAATGAAAATCATCATCAGCAATAAATCTCTCGTCAACAGTCCAGCTGACAAAAATTAGACCGACACCGCCGGTCTTGCCCAGTTAACAAACCGCCCCTGAGTAACACACATTATAAAAAAAGGAGAGATCTATAATGACGATAGCTGTTTGATAGAAAAGAAGGAGCAAACCACACCAGTGCACCTGCCAACCACCTACCTGTGACATTTGAAGCAGTACACAGAGAGAGAGAGAGAGAGAGAGAGAGAGAGAGAGAGAGAGAGAGAGAGAGAGAGAGAGAGAGAGAGAGAAAGAGAGAGAGAGCGAGAGAGGGGGGGGATAGAGGGAGATGAAGAGAGAGACTGACAGAGAGAGTGACATGGAGAGGGAGAAAGTGACATGGAGAGGGAGAGGGTAACCCCCCCCCCCCTCCCACACACACACAGAGGGAGAGAGAGAGAGAGAGAGAGAGAGAGAGAGAGAGAGAGAGAGAGAGAGAGAGAGAGAGAGACAGACAGACAGACAGACAGACAGACAGATAGACAGACAGACAGGCAGACAGACAGACAGACAGGCAGAGAGAGAGAGAGAGAGAGAGAGAGAGAGAGAGAGAGGGGGGGGGGGTGACCAAGAGGGAAAGGGAGAGTGACCAAGAGAGAGAGGGAGAGTGACATGAAAGTGAGAGAGATATGCAGAGATTGAGACAGAGAGAACGAGTCAATAATTGTTCATGTATTACTCACCATCAGTTCCAACTTCTTCTGCAACTTCTTTCCATATTTGGTTGATTAAAACCCTGTTTGAATTATCATCGTCTCCTCTATTATAAAGAACCTGCCTTTTTCTTACAGCTTCTATCAAGGCTCCCACCTCCATTTTGTTTCATTGCTCGAAGAAAGGGGAAAAACGGTTCCGCGCCGGCTGAATGTTAGCGAAATTTAGTCCAGCACTTAAAAAGAACACTCCAGCGAAACGACGGATGAGGCACGGGTCTGACACGAGAGCAGCACGGGTTCACACTGGGTTTTAACTCATTCGCTACGCCGAACCGCGGGCAGCAGCGCAGCGCGTCGAAAGTGACTTCCGTACAACAAACCGAGCCCGACGGCTCGAGAACCGGCATACAATTCAAGCTTAGATTTTTATTCCAACCCACCTTCTATCCATAATAAAATAAAGGTTATAATATAATGTTAACTGTTAACTGCCGGGTCAATGTTTCTGTCGAAAAACGTGTTGAAACATGATTTCGAAGTTTATGCGCGACCCTGTTTTATCGCGATGCCCAAATTATAACCAAGACACCAATACTATTACACAACACAATTTATTATTATTTTGCTTACTAAAGAAATGTAGGAATCTTCTTTAGAAGTATATTGATACTATTGGACTCAAATTGACATTGCTCTTTTATTGAGAAATTTATAAATTTTTCAGTGCTAGATCTAGATAATAATAAGAAGAAAAAGAAGAGGAAGAAGAAGAAGACAAACAGCGAGACTGAGCACCTACGCGGTTACAAAATTGAAGGCAAAGCCTTATTTGCTGAACACAATCTTCATGGTGTCTTTGTCCAAGCTCTTCGCGTACACTGGAGGGCTCAGGACCATGTCCCGGGTCCACGTGTGGGGGAATAGCCGGGAGGGGAGGGGGGATACAGAAACAGAATTAAACAATATAATACATATTGCTACTTTCACAGAAACAAATCACTAACGAAACAAGTACAGTATTTTGAAAGCAGATGTAGGCCTATGTCATATATTAAGAATAGAAACTTGCAACAAACGAGATGTTTAAAAAAGAAAATTAAAATACCACGAAAACAATTAAGTTTGATATTACATGTACTTTGATAACATCTAACTTTATCAGGAGCACAGACAATAAGTCATGATGCCAAATAATATAGCAATGTAACATTGGGAGAAGCTGCATATGACATGCTCATTATTATACTCAGATATTTGCAGGCAAATATCTTAAACATCTATCCATGAAATTAAAAATAATATTAAGAAGGCAGGCCACTTCGTCCATGCCCATCAGAGTGGGATACAGTATCTTGGCAGAGAGTGTTACATACTCAATACAATAACTTCCACACACCAGAATCAGATATCTTTAGCAAGCAATGGCGAACACTTAATAAAAAACAACAACCATGGTTTGCTTTAAAAAAAAAAAAAGACTTTTATCATGAGACAAGCATTTGCCATGGTCAATAGCAAAGACAATCAGCTTTGCCAACATAATGTCTCTTGCATACAGAGTAAGTACGGATGACCAGCTCAAATACAGGTTGATCCAAAAAAAAACCTTTACAACCTTTTTTCTAAATATCTCGCGCAAATGTTGTTCTAGAAAGATGGAATTTAGAAGAGATATACTTTATTCAAAAGGAGTTTGTTTGACATAAAAATTCATACAGAAGAAACTTATTTTCAGAACGGAAAAGGCACAAGAAAAGAAACACTCATAAACGCAAAATGCGCTAATTAAAAAAAAAGACACTCTCACAAAGAACATCATGAGACGATTGATTTGATTTTTGTCTTCTTTTTCTCTATATCATTTAATTGTTCCAACCTTGTGACATTAAACAATATTTAACTTCTGTTTTAACATTTTTGTTCTGGAACTTCTTAAACAAATGCTCCACACGTCCTCCTTTGGACTCCAAACATTTTTTAACGCGTCGTTTGAAACGCTCGATGACGGCCAAACACAGTTCCGTGGAATGTTTCTCACTTCATCACGGATTGCTTGTTTCATAGTTTCAATGTTTTCAAACTGGTTTTGAAATATTCTGTCCTTCAGATAGCCCCACAAGAAAAAGTCTAAAGGATTCATGTCAGGAGAATGTGGAGCCCAAATGTGTTCACTTCTGCGACTGATCTCACGATCTCCAAAGTGGTCAGCTAGCCAGGTCATTGATCTGACAGAAAAGTGTGGATTGGTCCCATCTTGCATGAACCACTGGTCTTGGCGATCCAAGAGTGGGTGTCTCCCCAGGTCCGTCTAGAATGTTAGAATTTATCACGACATTTTGTGGTAATGCGTACTGGTGCGTAGTGTAATAAAAGGGGACAAAAGCAAAAAATGGGTTGTTTTTTAAAAGCGCATTATACTGCAGAACTATTTAGTGGTATCATCAAAAATGAATATCTGTCAAATTCCTTTTGAATGAGGAACATTGTGTTTAAATTTGAAGACGAAAGCTTAAGTGTGGAGGAAAATATTTTCGAAAAAAGTTGTAACGTTTTTTTAGGATCACCCTGCTACACGGGAAAGCTTAGAATAAAGGAAACACACCTTTGTAACTAAAATAATGAAAAAAATATTTCAATACAAAGAAAAACATTTTAAAAAAAGGAGTTGACATCATGAATGAGTGTGGAATTGCCCTCCGAACGTTAGTCAGTCATAATACAAACCCTCTCAAAGAAGCCGTGCTTGAGATGATCGAGGTGGAAGACCGGCTCTGTAAGAGGAGAAAAAAAAGAATTATATATATATGGTACATCTGTGCTACAAGTATGGGTTAAGGTAAAGCCCCTCATTTCAAATTGCAAGAGGAAGCAACAGGCTGCAACGGTCATGTTACTGCACAAAGATATGAGGTGAGGTGGGAGTTTGGGTAGGTTATATTCTACCTTTACAGAATGAGCTCTCAGCAAACATGGTTGACAGGGACATTTTGAGGACTCACTTATATACCATGATAGTTATGATCTACTGCAGCTGCAAGAGATTGAATCACTTTAGAGATAGCAAAATAATTGTATTCAACCCTTAAAAGAAAGGATACAAAAATAACATGAAAATCAACTGAGGGAATATTTTCTTTCTGTAAGATATGAGGTTCCAAACTTATTTACTCTCCAATAGACTGCTATCACTATCAGCAATTTGCATATCCTCAATGGTTTTGTTGCAACTGTCCGGGCGGGCTGATGTTCCACCATCGCTGACATCATCTCCAGGTACCACCCTCCATCCTGGACCCACCAGCGTCGGATAGTTCAGGTTGAGCTTCACTTTGAAATATTTGAGTAGCATTCATCATTATCTCTTGGTTCTTGTTCAAGTTCTGGACCGGATACAGACACAGGCGATCATGGTTCGCAACTCGGTTTAACAAAGTGACTAAATGGCATCTAGGTCATCAGTGTGTCGTGACTGAGAGAATGAGTAATGAGAAGCACTTATTTACCTTAGAGACACCAATATGTTATAAAGTGAGAAAAATAGAAGCGTTCAAGTAACATTTCCTTACATCTAGAAATATCAAACCAGTCTGTACTGGCATTCAGTCACAATCCCAATTACCATAAAATGTCTTAGTCCAAACAATTCCAATGAACAACTTGTCCTAAGAATTCATTTTTCTCACTGCTCTCCTCCAGTTGTGATCCAATGCAATGACTAGTCCAAACATAGACAAACTAACCTCGAGTTTGGGCCAAAGTGACGGTATTGTTTGATCACAGTCAAGATTATGTTCTCTTTGGTCAGCTGAACACGACATTTCTCTTTCTCAATAGCTCCACAGAACAGGATAGAATGGCTTTTATCATCTGAGGATCATTAAGGAGTACTTCAATTTTATCATTAAAAAAAACATCAACTAAAAGAATTGACTTCAAAACAATCAAAACTTTTTGCAGACTAACTAGCAAAGAAAAAAAGGATAGACAAACATCTTCAAAACGGTATACAAATTTTTAACCCATGATGTAACATATTACAAACCCCTCTGTTGGTGTCTTCTGTGGCGCAATAACAGATTCCCTGCTCAAGGTTGCAGCTCTCTTCATCCCTAGGGGTTGCAGGAAGAAGTACAAGCCCTTCTGGAACGAGAACATCGAACAAGCAGTCCAAGGCAGAGAAAATGCTCGAAAAACTCTTGAAAGCAATCCTACTACAGGAAACAAAATTAACTATAAAAAAAGCCTCAGCTAAGGTCAAACAGACAACCCTCTTGGCCAAAAGAAACAAATGGAGCACCACAGTTGCAGACCTTGACCTACGTAGAAACGGAGCCCAAGCAAGGTCACTTCTCTCCAACTTGTGTGGAGAAAAGCGCCGAAACAACCCAAAACCCATGGACACAGAGGAAGGCACCATCGTAGAAGACCAAAAAAAGACAGAAACCTTCAACAAGTTCTTTGCTTCTATAAACAAAGCTACACCCCACACTGACCAACATAGAGACTGTCTGAAAAGACTGAAGGAGAAAGAGCATGCGCCAAATGCAAGCATCTCTCTCTTTGAAGATGACTTCACACTCATTGAGCTCAACAGGGTAATGAAGAAACTGAAGCCCCGCAAATCCCCAGGACCAGATAAGATCCACAGTGAAATGCTTGTCAACCTCAGTTCCGTTGGTAAGGGTTATATTCTCCAGCTGATCAACAAGACGTGGAATGAAAACACCATCCCCAGAGCATGGAGAAACGCCATCATCACACCCATCATTCTCAAGAAAGAAAAACCTGCTGAAGAAATGAAAAGCTATCGACCCATTTCACTCTCCTTATGCATCGGGAAACTGGCAGAGAGAATGGTCAACCACCGCCTATACTGGTGGTTGGAAACAACCGGTGCCCTGGACAGCAACCAAGCAGGATTTCGTGCGGGCCAACGAACAGATGACAAGCTCTTCAGGCTCAGTCAGAAAGTCCTTGATGGCTTCCAAGAAAAGAAGCACACAGTTGCAGTATTCGTCGATCTCCAGCAAGCTTACGACAGGGTATGGAGAAAAGGCCTCCTGTGAAAAATGACACAGACGGGAATCAACGGGAAACTCTACAGATGGGTGAAGACCTTCCTTACAGACAGGACGATCCAGACCAGGATTAACCATGGTGTGTCATCCAAGGCTGTACTGGAGGAGGGCCTACCCCAGGGTTCCTCTCTGAGCTGCACACTTTTCCTTGTTTTCATCAACGACCTGCCTGAGATACTGAAATCGGAGAAGGCCCTATATGCCGACGACCTAGCCATCTGGCATACAAGTAAACAAGCTGGCATTAGTGGACGGCTTGTGAATGAGGATCTAGATAGATTCAACAACTACTGCTGCAAGTGGAAACTAAAAGAAAATTGCACCAAGACAATCTA